AAGCCCCTTTTTTAGTCCTCACTGTGGTGGAGCTTTGTGGGTAGTGCTGGTGGGGAGAGAAAGAATAATGGCCGAGAGCAGGAAAGAGGTCAGGCATTAGGGGTTTGGAAGCTCATTCGAGTCCCAGGGTAAATGCCAGACTGGTTCCCCAACCCAGCAGCCTGGCAGTGGGCTGGAAAAGTGACTTTTTTTGTGCAAAATGGAAAACAACTCTGTGTTTGTTTTGCTTTAAAGTTTCTTCTTTTCATATTTTTTTTTAAAAAGGAAGTTGAAAGAATTCTTTGTATTTTTAAAAGTGCGATAGATTGGAGTCACTAGAGCAGTGATTCTTAACCTTGGAGATGCATTAAAGTCACCATCTGTGCCTGGCTAGAACTCATGGGAAAAGAATTGCACCCTTGTTTTCACTAACTTGTAACTTAAAGCAGCACTTCCTCCAATCTTCAGTATAGGCAACAAACCACAGTATTACTAGCAGTACCTTTGTTATAAGAGTAATCACAGATATTTTCATATTCTTTTACTGTTGTTGCTGATGTCTTCAAATCTCGTTTATGCTCCACTACTTAGAATTAAGATCGTTGTCAGATGGGCCAGTAGATCTTACTATTCAGAGTGTGGGTAAAGAAGCCCATAAAACACTGTAGCTCAAAATATTTTGTAACTATATTCCAGTGTGGTCATTTTTTTTTTGGTGACCTTGTGTTTTTCTTGACTCATCTAAATGAATTCTTCTGAGCAGGGGCCTCTGGGCTTCATTTAGCTGCCCTAGGAGTCCATGGCACAAAGAAGGTTAAGACTCCTGTCTTAAAAGGCGGCCAGTGGCCAGTGCCCACGTGGGGGCCTCTTGATCATTCAGGTTTAATCAGGGCCTCACAGGCAGAGGGAGGTTGTTAAAGGCGATCCATTTGTTTCATTCCCACCATTGTAGATGAGATTCGACCCCCAGTTTCCCCAGATAACGTCAGCCTCCATTCAGGTGGTTTGAACCCTAAGGACTGTGATGGCCCATTTGCAGCAAACTGAAGCGTGAACAAATTCTGATCACCAGCATTGTGGGGGCTCTTGCCAACGCCGCCGGGGTCAGCGTCCATCTCAGATGTAGGCATGCACAGGTGGTCCCAGGTCTGCCGTCTGACACCTACGTGGTGAGGAGCCTTAGACTCCTGCTGCCCAGGACTCCAGCAGAGGTTAGGCTTCCGCAGGGAAGGCCTGAGGCCCGGGCTGCAGCTCGGCAGGATAAACCTGCCTCCTGAGGTGTCTCCTGACTGCCTTCTTTCTCTGAGGCCTATTTCACCAATGGCCCAGCTTGAGGACACAGGCAAGACATCCAGCTGGAGGTCTTTGATGTGCCAGGAGGGGTCACATGCCACACGCCTGGAGCCTGTCCCGGCTCAGAGATGTCTTCTCTCCTGAAGAGTCCAGCCGCAAGACTCTGGGATGGACAGTGAAAAGAAGATGATCTATCTAGTCTTCATCACCCCACAGTTCTCTCCAGCACATATGCCAGGGACTGAGTCTCAGAATACCAGACTCTGAGAAACTAGATCTCGTATAGGCATCATCTCTAAGTTCTGAGAGTAAGTAGGAACATGATACTTATGTTACTTTTTCTTCCCAAGGCAAAGGAAAAGCAGTTTGAGGGGTTTGGGATAGGCCAAGTCAGCTCACTGACTCATGTGACTCAGAGTAAACGAGAAACCAACTAAGTAAATATGGAGAAACTCCATCCATCCCCAGTGATGGAGGGAGGGTCCAGAAAATAACCAACTGTAACTGACCAGTAAGAACACTCTTGGAACCGAAGTAGCTCTTTGTAATTACTGAAAAGCATAAGCAGACACTTATACTCTAACCCTGAAACCTACCCTGTTCCTACCCTTCATCTCCTGCATTATTTTTTCCCTTGAATGAATGAAGGACTCACACAGCCAATCATGTGAACAATACCAGGCTTGGTGGATGCACTAAATGATGTGAATGTGATTCAGTGTAATCCTATTAAGTGCTTTGAAGTGAGGTGATTTCATTAGGGCCCATGTGAGGAGATTTCTGAGGGTGGAGACACAAAGCCATGGCTGCCTGGGCTGGACCCCATGCACCATGGTAACATGGGAGCATCATCGTGGCCTGTGACCTGAGGCTCAGGCAGTGGTCTCCCTTAGTCACGGAAGTGTAGAGGCCTGGGATACTGCTGCTATGTCGATGGCTCTGCTGTCCTCCAAGGCCGAATGATTTTTGTCTGGGGCAAATGCCAGCACTGAGGGGAGCTCCGATTCCGGTGGTGCATGTTTTAAAAAGTGGCTGAGTCCTGGCTGGACTAGATGTAAGGGGATGCAGAATGCAGACAGCTATTTCAGCCCCAGACTAGAAGAGGATGAAGAAGAAGGTAGTGGAGATTTGCCTGAGTGGCTGAGTTTGTGCAGGAGAGGCCAGAAGGGGTAAAGCAGATACAGCCCTTTGGACCAGTGACAGAAAACTTGTGAGCAACGGGAAAACAGCTGCCTTCCCATAGATATTCCTGTTAGGATTTCCTGGAGCAGTCTCCTAGGAAACCAACCAGGATACCCTAGATCCTTCTCTCCTTGGGAAGACCCATCCTCTCCCCACAGGAGGGACGGTCACAATGTCTGGACAACCTCCTCCTATAGCTCTTTCCAGGCCATCTTAGTTAAGGAATACTCTTGGCTCCTCAGACACAGCACAACTCTGGAAGGCCTGCTGTCACTCCTCAGATGTTGCTTCTGATGCCCGCCCTTCATTGCCCGGAAAATTTATTTTGAAAGAGAGAAAGCATCAAGACCCTCACCATGTGCCTCCCTTCCAGCACCATGGGCTTGAGGCTGGCATTGGGGGTGGGGGACTCTTTCTCAGAGACCAACCAGGACCACAGGGGCATCTCCAGCAGCTGACCCCAGAGACTCGACATCACTGATAAAAAATCATTTGGATTAATAGGAATGCTACTAGCTCTGCCGGACTCTTGAACAGTGAGCAGAGCTGTCCAGCCAAGGAGAACGGCATCAAGCCTGCTTGGCCTAGAGAGCAGCCAGGAAGGTGAAGGAGATTGCAGAGTGGCCAAGGATAGAGCGGGTCAAAGTGGACATGAAAGAGTTCATGAAATCAGCCACTAAGCTATGAGGTAACCAAGAAGCAGGATGCAGAGTTGGCCTCTATGCTCTAAATGACTGCCCGCGATTGCTGAGAGAAAAACTACCCCCAACCTGAGTCTTGGCTTTCCTAGTGTGAGTCTTGACAAGTCTTATAATCACCTGTTGGTCCTTTGAGCCCAAATGTATTCTTGTCTTCACCCACTTTTTCCTGGGGAGGATCCTGAGGGCTTGGGGTGGAGGCAGAGGGGCACCAAGGAGACAGGTGCCAACTGCCCAGTGGGGAGAGGCAGGGAGGGTGTCATTGAGGAGGAAACATTTGTGCTGCTCCTTAAAGACGAATCAGTGAGGGCATTCTAGAAGGAGGGACCAAGATTGGGTCCTTGGGATGGGTCAGGAAATCAGACTGGAAAGCAGGTTGGGGACGGACCATGAATGGCTATGTGCTATGCAGAGTTTGGACTCTAGGCCATGATTGGCAGGGAAGATGGAAAGGTCATGTGAGTTGCAAGGTAGAGTATCCTCAGGGTGAAGGTCTTGTGGGGACTCACGACTTTGGTGATGTGCTAGAACCCAGGAACCTTGAGCCCTGTAGATCCAGAGACTGGGCATTCTCAGCCTTCTTGCTAACAAAATTCAGACCTCATAGATGCATAAATTAAAAAACCAGGCTACTAATTTGCAGAAATGAGGAACATCTATTTCCAGTGGCAGACATGTTGGAACCCCATCCAGGATACCCCCTATCTGCTTCCAGGGTCCTGGGGAGCCAGGTTGGTTGTCTGAAGGTTGCTGGGTGAGAGAGAATTCAAGCCATGGGAGGTCGATACTGTTGGGAGCAGTTCATGGGTTCCAGGCGTTGCTTGCCACAGCCAGAGCAGAGAGCTCCCCAGTGATGGAACCTCAATCCCTCTTTCCCAGTTCACTGTGGGATACACTTGTTTGTTTTGTAGTTTCTTTACTCACTCTCCCCATGTCACTTCACTTTATTATGCCAGTGTCACAGATGCAGTCTGACCGTTCCCTGGGCCTGGAAGTCAGCCTGTCTCCTTCCGATAGGAGTTGATTGAATTAATCCAATCTCAGCTTTCTCCAGGACCCCTCTGCTGGAGCAGCTTTCAGGACAATTAAGATTAAGGACATGCGTCATCAGGTGTGTGTTTTAGGAAGGTAATTTGGGCTGCAGGGAGGAGCCTGGTAGAGAGGGAGAGAGGCTGGTGGCTGGAGACCTGCCGTTTTGCCACCACAATTGCGCCACGAATGAGATGCGACCTCAGCAGGAAGAGGTGTGGGCAGCCAGGTTCTCCCCTGCCTGAGAGGCAGCCCCACTCCCAATTTCCAGGCCTTGGCAGTAGCTGGGCAGCATGGGGTTGGAAAGGATTGAAGCCCGTTTTATTCCTGACACTCAGCATCTTCTCCTGGGATCCAGTCCGGATTCAGTTCCTGGGAACTTGGCGAGAATTTGGCTCTCTGCCCATGACTGGAAGCATTTCTCCCAGCTCCCATGTGGGACCGCAGACCTACTTGGGTGCAGGCCTTCCTGTGTCCAGGGACTGGAGGCACTGCAGGGGTTGTAGCAATAGTGAGAAGACTTCTCCTAAAGAGGCCCCGCCCAGCCTCCACTTCCTTGACATGGGGGGCAGTCAGAGCCCTTGTAGGTGGAGCTCTAGGAAAGGTGGGCTGCACACCCCTCCCCCCATCCCTCCTCCTTCAGTGGATGAGAGAAAACTGAGCATCTGGGGAGGCAGCTGGGGACGTTCACTTGCATGATGTGCCTTTCTCCTTATGGGGATGCTACCCTCTACTTCTGTTGCTGCTCTTTTTACCCCACGGGGACATGTTCATGGGCAGAGGGCAGGGCAAAGCCCCTCAGGACGCTCAGCCTGGGCAGGCTCTGGATCCTGGCCCCCACTTGCCGTCTGACCTAGCATAGGATCCCACAGGTCTGGGTTCACGTCCCAGCCCTGCCCCTCACTTGCTGTGTGACTTTGGGCAAGTTACTTAAGCTTTCTGTGCCTCAGTTTCCTCATCTGTAAATAGAAAGGAATAATAATAGTAGCTTTCTCAATGGATTGTCCTGAAGATTACATGAGTCAGTGTTTAGGATGTAGGAAACTTGGGCATATAGGAAACATGATATAAACGTTGGCTGTTATGACCGATAGCTTCATTATTATAATCACTATCAGTATATGGAATCCAGAGGCCTTTTCTCCAGGTGCAGAAGCTGCACCTGCACACAGAGCCCCTGATGGACTGTCCAGGCTCCAGGTGGTCTTCTGCTCCTAGCCGAGGGCCCAAGGTCAAGAGCGGGCTCCTTGATGTCCTAGTTGGCTTATCTATCTAGTTGGCTGTCTGAGGCCACATCCTTCTCTGGTCACCAGCCCCTCGCCCTTGTCCTTCTCCTGCCAAAGGCCAACCCCCCTCTCACTTCCAAGAAACGCACCTGTTGAACCTTCCCCTGCTGATAGGGTTGGCAGATAAAACACAAGATGCTCTTGTAACACTAAAATAAATTTTAATAAATAAGCCTATCTCATGCAATATTTGGGGCATAGTATACTAAAACATTATTTATCTGAAATTCAGATTTCACTGGGCATCCTGTATTTTTATTTGCTAAACCTGGCCACCCTCCTGTGAAATCCCAAAAGTAAGGGGTCTCATGCAACCCTGAACAAGGAGACTTGGAGGGGTCAGGACTGAGTGTTTCTTCATACTGGAGATCTAGAGGTGCTGCAGAACCAGGCGCCATAACCTTGTTGGTGCTTTTGGACCTAAAGTGTCCATCAGACTCCTGATGAGTGGAATGGCAGCTAACTTCTGCAGACCGAGGGAGAACTGGGTCATAGGTATGTTTGGTAAAGGTCAGACCCAGGCGGGGAGGCCCCCGTGGTTCTACCTCACTTCTGCCTTTGGAATAGGGGGTGGAGGCTATGCAGACCCCGACATTGTTGGGGGAAGAAAGTAGAGAAGGCTCCCTCTACTGCTTCTAATCCAGCCAGGCAGATGGCCCTCATTTGGTTGGAGAGGCATATGAAGAAGTTTCCTTTGGAATTAAATGCCCTGCAAGTTTGCCAAAGGAAACATCACTTAGACTATAAGAAAGTGTTGGGAAGTTCTGTGAGTGGGCCTGGCTGTGTCTGTGGCCTGGCAGCCAGACAGGATCCCTAGAGGAGGGAATAGGCCCTTGTCTGGAGCACACCCCCCTCCATCCTTGAAAGTCTCCCCAGGAGGCTGGTGGAGCGAGGGGGCTCTCAGAGGGCCTAGGTCTGGGGGCGGCTGCCTATGTTGGGGGAGGGAGCAGGAGGACTGGGAGAACTGTAGGACTGTTTCCTGAATGATCTGGGCACAAAGGGTTCGCAGTGGGGTGCCCAGCCCAGCTGGAGATGCATTCTCGTCTTTCATGGGCTGTGTACAGATTGGGGGAAGAAAGAACTGGCTGGAGCAGCCCCAAGAGACACAGGCTTTTGCAGACACTGAGACATCAGGATAATAATAGCTAGCATTAGCTCTTGGCTTCTGCCTGGGTTTTTCCATAGGGCAAGCTCTGCGTTGTGGGTCAGGACAGAACCCATGGTGAGGTTTGGGGCCCCCACTTGCCCTGAGCTGGCTGGAAGTTTCCAAAGCAGTGTCCAGGAGATGCTGGGAGTTCCCTGCTGTGTTCAAGGCAAATGTGCATATTACAGGTTCCTGTGATTAACCTGGTTTTAAGGTCAGAAAAAGGACTCTGAGGAACCTGAAAACCTGACTTGAATTTTGAATGAAGGGGGAGACTTCCTGCTGCTCTCCTTCAGCATCTTTCTTTTTTTTTTTTTTAATTGGGGAACAGTGTGTTTCTTCAGGACCCATCAGCTCCAAGTCAAGCAGTTATTTTTATTCTAGTTGTGGGGAGCGCATCTCAGTGGCCCATGTGGGGATCGAACCAGCAACCTTGGTGGTATGAGCACTGCACTCTAACCAACTGAGCTAAACGGCTGCCCCACCCCCACCCCAGCATCTTTCTCAACCTTGTACCAGGGCCCAGCCTTGGGGACTCTGCCCTCCCACAGAGGCAGAGCTGGCAGCCCCACTCCCCTGCCATCCCTAGAGGCTTCCTATCTCACACTGCCTCCTCCTGCTCCCTGCTTGGGTCCCCAATTACCTGCTTTCAGGGTCTCCATAGAGCACTGGGTGCCTTTGATAAGTGCCAGCCATGCTACTTCTTACCCATGACCTTGGTAAGTGACTTCATCTCACTGCTTCAGTTTCCTTGTCTATAAAATGAGGCTTCTCTTGTTCATCTTGGAAGACAGGTGGATGCCAAGGACCCTAGCCCCTAGGCGTGAGTGAGTCGTGTTTATATTTCCTTGCCCCTTGCACGACCACTTGTTCTCCTTGGGAAGGTGGCCAGTCTTGGGTCCCCTTGTAGTTCTCTATGAATGTCCTCCTCCCTGCTGTCTTCCCCCCATAGCAGAGGGCTTCGGGGTGAAGCAGGTGCTCGTCATGTGGCGATGGGTGGAGAGCCCTGCCTCAACCTGGCATTCTGGGTATTCATTAATAGGATGAGATCCACTGGCCCCAAACAGGCTCAGAAGGTTGCTCAAGCCTTCCCCAGGGACACCTGTTGAACTCCTGCTGTGAGTTAAGCATGCAGATAGAGGTGCGTCCTGGGGGTTAAGTCCTGGGGACCAGGTGCTGTTCCAAGCGTGTGCACATATTATCTTCTTTAATCTGTGCCTCAACCTCAAGGAAAATGAGGCACAGAGAGGCTCAGTAATTTGCCCAAGATCACCCAGCTTGTAAGAGAACCTGTGTTCAAACCCATCATGGGCCCCAAAGCCCTAGTCTCGCTCTCATACCAACCGAGGTCCACTGGGCACCACACAGCCTCGATGGGGTGGACGAAACATAGGCATGACCCCACAGGGTGGCAACCACAGCAATAGGACTGGAGAGGGAAGCATGGGAGATGACACACTGCCACACGGTGACCCACTCTCCTGATGTGCCCAGGGCTTACTTGGTGTTGGGACTGCAAGGCCTGCAGCTCCCAGTCCTGGGCACACCAGGATGATTGGTCCCCACAGTCCACTCCTCTCTGTCACTCTCTCTGCTCAGGAGGGCCAGGGGTCAGAGAACAGCCCTGTGTCTGGGAGGGACAGTCATTGATGTCACAGTCTGTATCATATGCTCATCCTGGTGTTCAGGGCCAGGCACCACTACCCCATGCCTGAGGCCGGAAATGACCACCTATCCAAACTCCCTGAGTAACCAGAGTGTGGGCTTCAGGTGCCGGGACCTCGAACTTTCTGGTTGGTGGGGTGGCTCAGCCAGGAAATGCTGCTCTGGTTTCTGGGTTCAACATCTTTCAGAATGTGCCAGTGACTCCCCACTGGCCTTCCCTCTGTCACCTTTCCCAAGGAGATGCCAAAACTGCGGAGCAGAGGTTGGATGTATGCGGAAGACCCTACACAGGAGACTGGAGCTATGGGCTGCTGGGGCCGAGGGTGGTATTAGGTTCCCAGGGCTGCTGTAACCACAATCTGGGTGACTCAACAGAAATGTATGTCTCCCAGCTCTGGAGGCTAGAGGTCTGAAATCAAGGCATTGGCAGAGTTGGTTCCTCTGAGGGCTGTGAGGGAAGGATGGGTGCTAGGCCTACCTCGTAGGCTTGTAGATGGCTGTCTTCTCATTGTGTCTTCACTTATCTTCCTTCTGTGTGTCTGCCTCTGTGTTCATATTTCCCCATTTTATAAGGACACCAGGCATCCTGTATTAGGGCCTACATCCTAAAGACATCGTCTTAAGTAATTACATCTTCAGTGACCCTGTCTCCCAATAAGGTCACAATCTGAGGCATCAAGGGTTAGGACTTCAACATCTGACTTTGCGGGGAACACAGTTCAACCCATAACTGTCATTTGGAGGCAACAGGGTGCAGTGGAACGAGAGAGCCTCGTCTTAGGGGTCTGATGGACTTGGGTTTAAATCTTAGTTTTTTAAACTCCATCGATGACCTTGGTCTCTGAGCCTTAGTTTTCTTATCTGCAAAATGGAGATTGATCAACAGTTCATCTAGCCATTTATTCATTCTTTCTTTATTCTTTTAGTGAATGGCCACTGTGTTGCCCAGCACATGCCGAGGGATATGCCGTCGGCAGCTGACCTCATAGGGTGGCTGGAGTATCAGAGAGCTGACTAAAGCCCGAGCAAGTGCAGACACAGTAGGTACTCTCTGAGCCTTCACTGCTGCCCTCCCTGCCTCAGCTGCAGGGTGCAAAGCTCTGAGGGCCTCAAGTTTTAATCGGCGGCGCCCCCCTGGGCCTCCGTTTCATGTGCCCTCACTCCTTCTCTCGAAGATTTTTTTCCTGAGCCTTAGAACTGGAGAGGAGGCCATAAACAGCCCAACCCTGGAGGGGCCACCCCTGGCTAGTGTGAGAAGGGAAGCATCGTTGCAGCCTAAGGGCCACAGAGAAGTCGTCCCCACCCGCCCCACTCATAGATGTGAGGACAGCCTCCCAGGGGTCATGTGCGATTTTCTCCCCCTCTTTTTTGTTCCTGCCTCCTCAGAGCCTTTATCATTCTCCACTATTTCACGATAGTGTCAAAGCACCAGAGCCACTTCCCCGCCCAGTGTCCTGCCAAATCTGTAACACATTCCCCGCCGGCCCCACCTCCCCCGCCAGCATTTAAACAGAGTTTCTTGGGGCCTCTGACCAGACCTTTCTAAATATAGTTCCCTCCTAGGGACAACAAAGACCCCATCCTCTGAATGGCTTTAGTCCTGATGGCCAGCCTGTAAACTGTTTGTCAGGCTTCTCCACCAGGATGAAAGGGAGGAGCTGGGACAAATGGAGGAGCTGGGACAAACGGAGTGGCTGGAGAGAAAGGGATTAGAGAGGAGTCCCTGAAGCCAGATCATAAGTGACATTAAGACCCAGATGTCCAGGGGCCGTGGCCTTGGCCCTGAGTCCCTGCCTTCTTTCGCTGTCTGGGGATATGTGGGGCCCAGGGCCCTGTCCCAGGCAGGCCCTGTCCCCTGAGGAGCAGAAGACTCGTTCATGATGAAGGGAGAGAAAAATGATCTTCCCAGTAGATAGAAAGAGCCTGTCTTTAGGGTCAGACCAACTGGTTTGGACTCTCGACTCCACCTGTAAGCTGGGGTGACTGGGCAGATCCTTCACCTGAAATCTCAGCTTCCACATCTGTGAAGTATGGATTATAAGGCCCATGTTGAGGGGTTAAGGAGAATTTGGGACAAGTGGCAGGCACTGACGCCCCCATGCCAGGACTCTGTCGGGATGCCATGGATTACTGTTGCAGACTCTGATGGGTGGGCGCTCAGCGTGGCATCTCCTCCCAGCTGCTCTGTGGCACTCAGAGGACCCTACCTTCTGTACTGGTGTCTTTAATTTCACCTCAGTGTAGCGTGGAATCCCTTTTCCAGTCCTAATGGTCTTAAGAGGTACCCCAAACCCGGAATCTCCACAGCCCTTTAGCTGGGGAACAGCCTAGCCTTTTTCCCCTCACAGGCCTCTTACTTCAGAGTTTACCTGCTCAGACACCCTGCGCCCAGTTGGGTACTGAGGCTCCTTTAAAACCTCAGCCCACTTATGAATATAACCCTTGAGCACAGGTAAGAGAAACTGGGGTTACTAAAAAGAATACAATCCTGGATTTCTCAG